TCATCTTGTAATCAGTTTTGGAAGATGCAGTGTAAATGCTTAGCTTGTGACATTTATTTAAAGTTAGGTACAATAAAGCAGTTTGCTAATTCTCCAAAATCTCAGGAAGTTTCTGGGGTCTACTAGTTGCACATTGATTTGCACATCTATATAGTTAGAATTCCAAAACACATGATGATATCTTAAAACACACATTCCATTATAGGAAATGGCGAATGTGTTGAAAAAACAAAAAAACATACATTAAGATAATATATAGTGTTGATATTTATTAAAATTGCATGATTTCCCACATACAGAATATCATGTAGCAGAAACCAAACCTTATCTTAGATATTTTGTTCACTGAAGGGAAAATTCTGTAATGCTTGAACATAAGTTTACATTGATATAGGGTTATTCTCTAAAGTGAGAATTGTTGGGCAGTCAAATTGAATATCAAATTTAAGGTCAAAGAACCACATTGAAAAATTCTTGAAATCGTCAGTTTCCAGTTTGGCTACTTGGGCCTAATTTCAATTTGAATTCCTGATTATAACACAGATTATTTAGTTACAGTTTTTAGAAACCAGCTAAAGGTGAATCAAGTATACAATTAAAATCATACATGAGGAAAATTGTATAGCTAAACTAGATTGCATACATACATGTACTAATATAAAGGAATATTAGATAACAATAAATAACTGAGCTATTTGACATACATTTAGTTGTAAGTCATAGCATTGACAGATAAATGCATCTTTGCTTGATTATGCATGCTATGAGATAGATATCAGCACAGAGAGAACTATGTAGACTGACTAACAGAATGTTTGGTGAGACCTCCTAAAATGGAAAAGGAGAAACACACATGTACCTCTGTGCAGGCATTTAAATGCAACCTTGTTAAACAAAAATACATGTCTGGAGTTCATGAGAGGCTTTCATATCCCCAACCACAGCACCCTGGTTAGGTATTTTAACCCCTTAGTGACCAGATCACTTTTCAATTATCTTACCGTTAGGGACCAGTGCTGTTTTTACATTTCTGCAGTGTTTGTTTGTAGCAAATTTTCATCTTACTCATTTACTGTACCCACACATATTATATACCATTTTTCTTGCCATTAAATGATCTTTCTAAAGATACCATTATTTTCATTATATCATATAATTTACTATAAAACAAATTATAAAATATGATGATGACCCCCAAAATCTGTTACACATCTGCAACCGCCAAAAAACACCTGTGCTAAATAGTTTCTAAATTTTGTCCTGAGTTTAGAAATACCCAATGTTGACATGTACTTAGCTTTTTTTGTAAAGTTATAGCGCTATAAATACAAGTAGCACTTTGCTATTTCCAAACCATTTTTTTTTTTAAATGAACGCCAGTTACATTATAACACTGGTATCTGTCAGGAATCCCTTAATAACCCTTCACATGTATACATTTTTAAAAAATAAGATAACCTAAGGTATTAAACTTGGGGTATTTTGACTCTTTTCATGCAACCATTTTACCACCAATCTCTGCCAAAAAATAAAAGAATTGGTGATTTTTTTGACACACATAGCAATTTAAGAATACATGTACTGAGAACTTAAGGGTTACTGCCAAAGAACACCCCAATATGTGTTCAACAACAGCTCCTGAGTACAGTGATACTACCCATGTATAGGTGTGTTGGGTTCTCTGGTAGCTAAAAGACCTTATTTGGAGGGTGCGCATTCCAGTTTTCAAACTTGGAATTTTCACAACTGGTCATCATGCACCCATGTCCTATTTGGGACATTTTTGAAGCCGGCCAATGTAATTTACCCCATCAAACCATATATTTTTGGAAAAGTAGACAACCCAGGGTATTCAATATGGGGTATGCCCAGTCTTTTCTAGTAGCCACTTAGTCACAAACACTGGCCAAAGTTAGCATTTATTTTTGTTTGTGTGTTAAAAATGAAAAAAAATATGAACACTAAATATGGCCAGTGTTTGTCACTAAGTGGCTACTAGAAAAGACTGAACATACCCTATTTGCAATACTTTGGGTTGTCTTCTTTTGCAAATGGTATGCCATTATTGGGGTAATTCTCATTCCTGGGCTACCATACGCTCTCAAAGGCAATATAACCCATCTGGCAAATTTCAATGTGAAAAAATGGCCTTATATTTGACCCTGTAACTTTCAAAAACACTCTAAAATCTGTACATGGGGGGTACTGTTATACTCAGGGGACTTCGCTGAACACAGATATTAGTGTTTCAAAACAGTAAAACATATCACAACAATGATATAATCAGTGAAAGTGTTGTTTGTGTGTAAAAAATGCATAAAAAGTCACTTTCACTGACAATATCATCTCTGTGATATGTTTCTGTTTTGAAACACTAACATTTGTATTCAGCCAAGTCTTCTGAGTAGAACAGTACCCCACTATGTACAGATTTTAGGGTGTCTTGAAAAGTTACAGGGTTAAATATAGTGCTAGCAAATTAAATTGTCTGGACTTTCGGCCTGGGTTGTCAGGCAGGTTCCCCACATTGCAATCAATAAAATAATTTAATTATGTAAAAAATATTACATAAATATGCATGTAGAATTTAAATATATATATACACATTAATATATTTGATGTCTATATGTATATCTATGAAATTATTGCGTGGGGCAACCCGGAAGTGATAACTCCGGGGGAGCGATCACCCAGCGGCCCAGCAGCCCGGCAGTGAGGGGGGTTATTGTCGCGGCAATCTTTGCAATACCGTTAGAGCACCTGGAAGCGATCATGGTCCTAATACGTCCGAGGTCGGGAAGTGTTTAACCCCTTAAGGACACATGATATGTGTGACACGTCATGATTCCCTTTTATTCCAGAAGTTTGGTCCTTAAAGGGTTAAAGAAAAGTGTTTGGGATATCACCAGACCTCAATATGTTACAGTGTAACTATGTCTGTGAATGCGTGAGTATGCGGTGATGTGGAATGAAATGATATACCTGGTAGAAGAACCCAACTCCTTCCTTCGGCTCTTGCTACATCATGGCTACATGGATCTTAAACCATTCCAATAATAAAAGAACCAGGTGATGCACAGGTCCAGTTAGAGTATGGGTGGTAGGTAATATATTTTATTATACCCAAAGATATTAGAGATCCTCCAGTCTTATGATTATTATGACCAAGTGGACCCAAGGAAGCAAAAAGGAGTAGAGCTATTTTCCAGACTTCTGTATGGTATTTTGTGACTTTACACCCAATGAGTTAGAAGTCAATGCCCAGCTATCTTTTCCTCCATCCATCACATACACACAGTGAGGTCTCTTTCCTACATGTTGAGGTCTCAAATTAATAATTTAACAAGTTCAATTTCCCTTTCTGTTCCGTAGAAAATAGCAGCACATTGTGCTGTTTGTTGTTGTTGGGGTGCTGATAAGTTTCATTTCATGACACTCATCTCTTGCATCTTGGGGTCTGGCGTTTTTTCCTGGGGTAGCATAAACTCTTTAAACAATGCATTAATGAAAAATAAACTGCTTTTCATGGTGCCCGATCAGCACCTCCATGTAGCTGCACTCGATCGGTGCTGTCACGCTGCAGGAAGGAGAGGTTACTCACCTAATCCACAGTGCCTCACCCTCCGAGCTGCATCTGGTGTAGCAACCAGGTCTAGCATTATGGAGGATGCCGGCAGCTGCAGTACAGTGTTACTAAATAGCTCCACCCCCAAACATGTCATATATTACGTAAATGTGGATACAGCGTCACGATGTTTTGGGGTTATAGGACCCATTTTGACCAATGATTAGGGTTTTGGGGTTATTTAAATCCATACCTGCCAGTGTTCAATACCCTCTAGTGGTTTCCACTACTTTGGTTATCTGAAAGCGTTTGGTATATTGTTATTCTGGTTTTTGATCTTAGCATGTTCTGGCTATCCATATTTCTGGTATCCCTGACCCTTTAGCTTTGTCTTCTCATTTATGCTCCTGTCTGTGTCCCTGATTTCGGCTTGTTTCTGACTATTATCTCTATGTCAAATCCAACCATTCTAAAGCCCGTCAATTTGTTTATCACTTTATCACTCTATTCTACGTTTTTGACTTAATTCTGCGTGTTGGGCCACCGCCCCATCCTAACAATATATTACAGCAAAGCAGAGAAAAGGGTTTAGATTCCTTCACTCAAAAATGACATGCATATAAAATAAAGTGTTAAAGCTGAGTAAGAAGTTAGGGAATTAAGGGAAATTAGAATGTGAGGAATATTCATAGTTATTTTGGAGGAGGGAGTGAAGGGTAGTAAGAGAGAGATGAATATTAGGAAATGTGAATATTATAAAGAATGTTTTTGTTTTTTTCTTCCCCTTCCCCTTTTTGTTAAGTAAATGGTTGTGTATTTGTATATATATTTATCTGTATTCAGCCGTTGAAAACTGAAAAGATACCTAAGGAAAAAATAAATAAATGATGAAATCATGGACACCGTTCCCTTCTTTTGCCTTTTTAATTGCCCCTCGGACATATTTTTTTCATCTCTTAAAATAGAGACACAACCCACATGGGTTAGGTTTTCTGGAAATGCGACACTGACATCTGTTCATGGCAATTCCTAGAATGGAATACAGGTTTCCAACAGGGAATTTTTTTACTTCATTAATTTAATGGAGGGTGCCTTAGATATTCATTTAATGTTGTGTTCCATTTTATCGTTCTTCCTATTTAGTGACCAACTGTTTACCTATCAATCATTATACTATTCCCCTCATCTTCAGTAAAATCGTTTTGATTACAAAGACACACCATCTTTAACATCTTATGTGTACACAAAAATAAACCTTGATAGTTTTGTAATATATAGTTCAAAATGCTGTAATTTCCTGTTGAACATATCTCCCTTTTCAATGCAAGTCAGGAAAAATTGGTAAATGTTAATGAAATGTTAATATTATATATAATAACTATCCTAGGTTTCCAACATTCAAAGAAATCAAAAATGAGTGAACAATGTGTACTCACCAAATCAGCTCCACAGGGTATAACAAGTTTAGTTTAGGAAACCGGCAGAAAAATAAAGCACTTATTCTCAATGTGTTTAAAGTGATGCCACCAATAAAATATTAAAACCATGATTTTTAAAGAGGAGTGCTGGGCTTCCTTTTCTTTGTTTAATATTTAAAGTGACATCATGCATTCAGGATTTCTTGGACTCTTTTACCTAAAATGACAACAATAGGCAACACATATATTCATTTATTTTATGTGAGTGATATATATATATATATATATTAAAAAAAAATCGCTAAATGAAAGCAATATATAATTAAAGCCAAGTTTTCATTATTGTATTTTTATTTTAAATACACCCTATCTGTTACTATGGAAAAATGCCATATTTTTTTCAAATGAGTCGAAAAAAATATGGCATTTTTCCATAGTAACAGATATTGTGGCTACTCTAGCATTACACAAATTGCGTTACAATGTAAATGAAGCAGGAATATTCGTGCTTATCTTGTAACAGAGAGCTGTGCATCTTTAACAGATGTGCCTGTGCTTAAATATTGCATTTTACTAGTCTGGCAGACGGTTCAACATCTAAAGTCTGTCTCCTGTCATACATATTCTCAATTACCTTTACGGCACATCAGAGAAGCTTGAAACATATCATAATTATCCTTCTCAAGTGCAGAAATGAAAGTAATAATTTAAATTGTATGATTCTCTTTTGTAGAATAAAGATGTTGTGCGTACAACAATCAGGATCCCCAACAAGTGAGTGACAGGTACTAATAATTAAATATCGGATGTGCTTTGCAATTTAAACATCCATCCTGTAAGCAAATGTACCATCTTACTGACAGAACATGCATTTGGTTAATTTAAATTCATGATGACTACATTAGCAAAAGAGAGTACACTTTATATATATATATAGAGTAGGTTCACTGCTCAGTAAAATTGCAAACCATGTTTATGAAGCACCCTGAGGGTAATTTCATAGCAGCATCCTAAATTATACTTTAAGTGGCAACTAAACAAATCCTACGTCTTATTTTCACTCCATTTTTTTTTAATTTAAGCTATCTCCCGTATTACCATTGATGTGAGTTATATGTGTGTCCTGTTGCAAGCAGGCTAAAATTTGTAAGTCTTGTGTAATACCTCCCACCACCCCTTGCTTGAGGTAGTGCTGGTGCTATTGTATGCTTTTGCACTCCTGTGATCCCATAGACCAGGACTGGACATCCGGATGAGAAGCAATATAAAAGTCTGTAGTGATGCTTGGCGTTTTCCTTTATTTGCTTGCACTGCACAAAACAAACTTGGTCTATATTCCAGAGCTCTTCAGTAGGTCTCTATGATTTCCTGGAGGAGCATCCAACTGATGTGCCCACTTTAGGGTGCCTGCGTGTCATTGGTGATGACACAGCACTTCCCCTACTTTGTCCATCTCCTTAGATGGAGCTGCTCTACTTTTACATTCACAGGGCAAATTTTTCTCTGAGTCTGACTCTGCTGTAGACAGCTGGTCAACTCAAGCATATCAAAGGTGAGATTTTGCAATCAGATGTGGGATGAAATACATTTGAAAGGGCAGAGTCTGGCACTTCACATCTTAAATCTTCACTAGCTGGCACTTCAAGCTATCTGCCAAATTCATCATTACAGGCAAGAGGGGAAGATACCAAAAATCAAGTGTGTCACTTTGGACACATATTACTCTATTTCTACTTTCTCAACAGTAAAGCAGACTATACATACTTTCACTTAAATTCTCTATTCTCCAACGTAATAAAAATGGTCTGTGTGAATCCACCTACTTATTTGCTGTAAAAGTATTTCTTAATTATTTCAATACAAGGAAAGACAAAAATACAGTAAGAATAAAAAGCAGTAAATTATCCCTAATGATGCCAAGAACCATCAATTCACTTTGACTTTTAGATCTATTTCTGGAACATGCACGCACGTATTAGTTGGTGTGCTAGCCTGAGAAGGCATTTTAAATTAGTGTGGAAAGTACATCTGTTCCATATGTTCACAAACCAATTTTTTATCTTGTATTAAATGGATTGTGAGATTCTTTTTGACATATACTGTAACAGCTGAATTATAGGGCTGTTAAATTGCTATTGATTTTGGAATAGTTAATGTATACTCACTGAAGCAGCAATGCTGGACATGGGAAACCAACCCCTGCTTTCCGTGACTAGTGTATAAACAATGATTGTTGATGTCTGTGTTAATATTTGGTTGTGGATGTTATTGTTGGCAACAGAAGTTTTCGGATGCAAAAATAAACACATAAAGCATTTCACGTCCCACCTGTCTATGTCAGCATATTGTTATTTTTATTTACGGGCTGGACATGAGCAGTGATGTCATGAAAACCTCAGCAGCCAGATGGCTCAATTTTTTTTTTTAACAAATAAACTTAAGCAGGTGTAACAAACTATATTCTTTGTCTAACTTAAGCCAACAATCTGCGGTGATAATGCTCCAATTCGTTTGGACCAGGAGTAGGCAATCTTTGGCATTCCAGATGTTGTGTACTACATCTCCCCTTATGCTTTGCTTGCACTTTGGCTGTAAGAGCATTATGGGAGATGTAGCCAACAACATCTGGAATGCCGAAGATTGCCTGCCCCTACTTTCAAATTTAAGGACATTAATCTGTGCATTTAATTTACCTCTTGTGCATATGTTCTCTTATTTTAATAAAAATAACAAAATAATAATTCTTCAAAATATTAATATTGTATATGTAAAGTGGTATTGATAGGCTAAAAAATGTAAATTATATGCAATGCATTCAAAATATGACTAATCTTCACATGGTGTACCACAAGAAACAATTCACCCCGCACTCAGGTTTCGCAATATACTCTAGTCATCCACCTGAGAGGCGCTACGTGTAGACAACAGACACCGCAATTTGCCCAAATCTAACAAGTAAGTATAAAACACAGGTGACACTCCAAGGCTTTCGATGGTATGCCCTCTAATAAATTCACCACTTGGAGTGTCACCTGTGTTTTATACTTACTAATCTTCACATGGTATCACACCCAATATTAATTGATAATATATATGACCTCAAAAGACTACAAGAACACTATGTATTAAATAGAATTCTGCATTAATCAGCAAAAAAGATTTCTCACAATCATATTATTTCCCTTTCATAACTTTAGAAATTGTAATTCTCAGTCCAAGTCACTATTCATTCACACTCACACTGCCAGCCTGTAAGGGCAGAAACCTTGCCCTCTAGGTAGGTGATACATGTCAAAGTAAATTCCATATGAATGCTAGGACCCAAGATTTCTCAGCAGATAATTGCCCAGAGCATTGCACTGCCTCTACCAACCTGTCTTCTTCCTATAGTGCATGCTCTTCCTATATCTTCCCAAGGTAAATGACACACATGAACCTGGCCATCCACCTTCTCCAAAAGAAAACGTGAATCATTAGACCAGTCAACCTTCTTCTATTGCTCCATGGTCTAGTTCTGACTTTCATGAAACATGCATAAGCTGCAGCTGTACATGGCATGACTACAAGTAGTATAATTTCATATTTGAACATTTATAAAAAATAGATGCAAAGTTTCATAGTGTTTATGAAAGTTTGAAATGCATAATAAATTACTTGTATATGAATTGGCAATTGATGGAAGTATATAAATAGTCAAGTGTGTCAATTCTTGAAGTGTGTATTAGTACTAGAGACAGGAAAATTAGATGATTACAAAAGTGAAAATTGCAATTATATAAAATATATCCAAATCACTATTAATTATTCTTTAAAGTGCAAGGCAGTGAATGACAGCTCTGACCTATGAAATTGTACCATGAAACTCAAATCTGACATTGGCTTTACTTTGCTTTGTTTATATTGGAAAGGAGTTTGCTACACCCGGTTTCTCTATTCAATTCCCATGACATTGATGGAGTAGATTTTCCTTTTATTAAACACAGCAAACACAACTCTGGTCCTGACCTTTTTGTACAAATAAAATTAGCTCATAATCATTATATGATTTGAGATCTTAAGTCATGAACTTGAGTAATTTGGGAGACAATGCTTTAGCTTACATAATTTCCTGCCTGTGTGTGTGTCAGGTTAGGTATATGAAACCCAAAATGCAAAATAAAAAAATAAGCCCAGGGCAAGCAAATCAGGCAAGGGCAAGGCAAGGTCAGACAGTCCAATAGTCAAAAATCCAGGCAGCAAGTATCAGAAACGGAAGGGCAGGCCAATGCCCGAGAACAGCTTTAAAGGGACACTAAAGTCACCCAGACCACTTCAGCTCAATGAAGTGGTCTGGGTGCCAGGTCCCCCAGGTTTTAACCCTTCAGATGTAAACATAGCAGTTTCAGAGAAACTGCTATGTTTACATTGCAGGGTTAATCAAACCTCTAGTGGCTGTCTTCCTGACAGCTGCTAGAGGTGCTTCTGCACATCCAGCGTGCAGAACGTCCATAGGAAAGCATTGAGAAATGCTTTCCAATGGACTGTTTGAATGTGCGAACAGCTCTTGCTGCGCATGCACATTACGCTCCACCCGGGAGCTGACGTCGATGGTGGAGGAGAGGTCACCAGCACCGAGGGAGCCCGGCGCTGGATAAAGGTAAGTGGCTGAAGGGGTTTTAACCCCTACAGTGCCAAGGGAGGGGTACCCAGAGGGTGGTAGGGGGGGTCGTAAGGATGATAAAAATGTCAGGAAAACAAGTTTGTTTTCCTGACACTATAGTGATCCTTTAACACAGGTAACTTGCAGGGTAGTAGCACAGAACTACTGAGCAAAGAAGGCACAGCTGTTAAAAGTTTAAATAGGGTGAAAAGTGTAAGGCACACCTATTCTGACATTCCTCCATAACACCCTATTGGTGCGTGGGGCTGTCAGTTAAGCAGGGTTTCCTTGTGAGTAAACATATCCCTAATTAGTTCCAGCCGCACGCACAGGGCTGCCCTGCAGCAAGGAATTATCCTGCACATCTCCCAAGCCTCTATCATTGCCTGGGAAACGTGATGCCATCGGTGTTTGGAGGTCGTTACTCGCCAAATGCTCGCGTCCGGGCGGCCGTGACTTAAAAGTTGCTGCTGAAGTAGTGAGAGGTGAGTCTTGACAGTGTGTATTTGCGTCTGTGTCAGGTTTCAAAACTGACATGTAAGACTTTTTCGTTTATTACTGGCCCTTAAAGTGAACTTCATGATTTTCTCCTCTAGTGGCCTCCCTAGCCACTAATCTATTCACTCACCTTAATAAACTCACCTGGATTAACTAATTAGGAGGCTTGAAAAGTCTACTCCTGGCACACAACAGGGCCTTGACATTGAAGTCTATGCTCTGATAAAGAATCTCTTTGTCTTGGTAATATCCTGTATTTTATCTACATTATTTCATTCTATAGAGAACTGAGTGCCTCATCCTGTACTCATCAGCATTTCCTCATACTGAAAGGCACTAACCTGAATTACTTCATCCTGAACTTGCCTGAATTACATCTTACCGAAATACTTTCTTTATCAGCTTCCAAGAATCCTGATTTGTGGCGTATTGCCTCCATTGTAGAATCTTAACTACTTCAATTGCTGCATCACTGCATGATCTCGTAAGCAACCTGCATTATATTATTTTGGAATATACCTACCTGTTTCAACCTCTGCAACTCTGCATGATCCTGTATTGTCTTATCCTACAAGGTATTTACCTATAACTAGCTGCATTGCAAAGTATCCTGGAAATCTTAACTACTTGGTATAACTTCAAGCCTGCTTGTATGCAAAATACTTTATTCATTTACTTTCTAAAGATCTTGTTTGGGGCATATTGCCTAAACCCTGTTTTTCTCACAAAGTATCCTGTTTGTGGCAGACTGCCCTTTATTCTTTATTTTAAGTAAATTTGCTGTGTCTAATACGACAAATAAAGTTTTAACCAATAACCCTTGCAATCGTCTCCTCTCTGACCTGCTCAGGAGCATGACAGTCTGTCTGTATGTCTATCTGTCTTATCTATGTATCTATGTATCTATCTATCTATCTATCTATCTATCTCCCTTTAGTTATCCTATGAAGGGAAAAGGGGATGTCAAGTTCACTTTTTTCATATATACTAAGGCCAGGGGTATGCAAACCCTTGGCTCGATTAATATGATGTACCCACTATCCAAGTACAGGTCCAATAGATGAACATGCAAAAAATGTAATGTTCTAGATAAAAAATGTACCCCTTTCCATAACCTTTTAAATGGATACATAAAATCCTGTAAAAGTAATTTATATACTTACTATATGATGTTTGTCATTAATGCTACCAATCTCTATATTCT